ATTGTGTATTAGCATGTTTGTTTGATGCTTGTTGGCTGTAGTGGTGAACTAAGTGTGAGATTAATTGAAGAATTAGAGTCAAGTCCCAACAAACTGGTATCAAAGCTAGACGTATTCTGGGTATGGTTGGTGCAAGGATTGAAAATAGATTAGACAACGTTGAGAAAGATGTTGCTAAGGTGACAGAGACGGTGAATGCAATGAGGGAAATATTGATGGATATGCATAATTGGATGCGTAAACAGGATGAAGAAGAGGAGGAACGTAAAAGAAACTTAACTGGGAACTCGAGTCATGGCCGGGAAAGTCACAGCGAGCTAGAACTCCATGAAAATTTGGGAAACCAAGGCGCTAACGGAGGAGGTCGAACTGAAAATGGGCTTCACGGAAACTAGGGGAATCAAGGAGAGAACCCATCAAAGGATGATGGAATCAAGATGCAGAGGGATGGTATTGGCGTGATTGGAGTGGCCGGAAGCTGAAGTTGCCTATCTTTTTCGGCAAAAACCCATATGGGTGGATTTTCAGGGTAGAACGCTATTTCACATTCGACCAAATCGTCGATGAGCACCGAGTGTCGGCGACAGCGTTGCGTATGGAGGGAGAAGCCCTCCACTAGTACCAATGGATGGAGACTCGATTGGCGATGACCACTTGGCAAGAATTCAAGGTAGCCCTCTCTCAAAGATTTATTGGAACTCAAGAGGTGAGTCCTTTAGAGCTGTTGATGGCGAAGAAGCCAAATGGTACGGTGCTGGAGTACCACCACCGATTTGAGGTGGTGGTGGCGGCGTTAACTGTCGGAGAAAGAGAAGAGGTGATGATTGTTGCATTTTTTAATAGGCTCAAACCAAAAATAAAAGCTGAAATAAAACTACAGCAGCCCAATACAATCACTCGGCTCAATTCTCTAACTCATGTGACCCAACTGGCCCAAAGGTTGGAAGAAAGAAACCAAATTGTGGGTAAGGCCAGACTTGGACCAGGCCAGCAGAACAAGTGGGCTTATTCATCTATTGGACCATGGACTTCTTGCTACCTGACCTGACCTGAAGAAATCAATAGGACCCAAACCCCAAATGAGTCAACCCGATCTACAACCCCAAACCCACCCCTAAGACGAAGTTAGAGCAAGATTCATTCCAGTCCCAACTCATCCTCATCGGTCAACTTCCAACCAAACCCATTCCGGCGAGAGTTTCCTTATAAGAAAATGACCGAAGCTGAGATCCAAAGAAAAAGGGAGAAGGGTTTATGCTACCGGTGTGATGCCAAATACTCACCAGGCCACTGATGTGCAAACAAGAAAATCCAAGTGCTATTAGTGGAAGATGATGATCCAAAGATGAAAGAGATGTCCATGAAGGAAGACACAACTAAGGAAGAAGTACCGAGGACCATTGAACTTTCAATTAGTTCGATGGAAGGCATAAATGGACACAAAACCTTGAAACTAAAAGGTGAAATTGGAGGTAAGGGTGTTATAATATTAATTGACAGCAGGGCCTCTCACAACTTCATCAATTAGAAAGTGGTAAAAGAATTAAAAATCCCAGTGGTCTAGACTAAACCTTTTGGAGTCAGAGTTGGGGATGGTTATAGAGTGAGTTGTCAAGGAAAATGTCGTGAGGAAAGTTTGAAGTTGTAGAGCATCATCGTGGTTCAGAACTTTTACCCTTTCAACATGAACAACGCCGACGTCATTTTGGGCATTGCATGCCTTGAAACCTTGGGTGAGACCACAACAAACTGGAAGGAGTCGGTGATGAAATTTAACCAGTCCAGAGAAATGGTAGCTTTTGTTGGGGATCCCTCACTGAGTAAGACAACGGTGTCGTTGAAAAGGATGATTAAAACACTACAGACAAAGGGATCAGGATATTTGCTCGAATTGGAAATTTGCAGTTTTAGGAAATGGGTGAAACTGTGGTGGACAATAGCATTTCTGAATTGTTGAGGGAATATGAAGTGCTCGCAAGGGCGCATGATCATGCCATCACGCTAGAACAAGGAGCTTCAGTCCCTAATGTTAGACCCTATCGGTACCCATACTATCAGAAAAACGAGATAGAAAAGATTGTTCGAGAGATGATGGCCTCAGGGATTATCAAACCAAGTATCAGCCCTTTTTCCAACCAGGTACTTCTGGGAAAAAAGAAAGACGAAGGGTGGCGCTTTTGTGTGGATTATCGAGCACTTAACAAGATAACCATACCTGACAAGTTCCCCATCCCAACTATAGACGAATTATTCAATGAATTGGAAAGAGCCACGATGTTTTCAAAACTAGACCTCAAGTCGGGATATCATCAGATAAGGGTCAGGGAGGAGGACACCCATAAGACAACCTTCCGGACACATGAAGGACACTACGAATTCCTCGTAATGCTCTTTGGGTTATCGAATGCTCCGTCAACCTTTCAAGCTCTCATGAATGACATATTCAAGCCTTACTTGCATAAGTTTATCTTGGTTTTTTTTTTTTTTAAATAATATTTTGATCTATAGCACTAACCTAGAAGCACATTTGCATCATTTGAGGCTCACCTTTCAAATATTGTTAAGGCACCAATTGGTAGTCAATACAAAAAAATTGCAACTTCGAGCAGACTCAATTGGAGTATTTAGGCCACCTCATTTTAGCCCAAGGCATGGTTATATTGCATTGCCTCTAACCAACCTTCTTCGCAAAGATGCTTTTGTTTGGACTAAACTAGTGCAAAAGGCGTTCAAGGAACTGAAACCAGTCATGACCATAATGCCCGTCTTAGCGATGCCCAACTTTTCAAAGACTTTTATCATCAAGACTAACACTTCGGGGTAAAGGATTGGGGTTGTCGTAATGCAAGAAGGCAAGCCCTTAGCATTTCTTAGCTAAGGTCTTTCCACACAATCGCGACTAAGATCAGTCTATGAGAGAGAGTTGATGGCTATTATTTTAGCTGTCCAAAAATGGCAGCATTACTTGTTGGGCAGACACTTCATCATTAGAATTGATCAACACAATCTCTACTATTTGAATGAGCAAAGACTACAAGGAGAAGAGCAACAAAAGTGGATCATTAAGCTGCTTGGGTTAGATTATGAGATTTAATAAAAGTCGGGGTTAGAAAATTAGGCAGCTGATGCCTTATCCAGGCGTGATGGGACAGTAGAGTGTAATGCCATCTCAGTATGTTATTTTGCCAAAAGAGAGGAATGGGAAGAGGCCATTCAACAGGGTGGCAAGCTGAAGAAGATCTGTCAAGATTTGATTATCGATCCTACCAGTCACCCACATTTCAGGTTAGTTGGCCATCAATTATACTATGAAATCATCTAGTTATGCCTAAATCTAGCCCCCAAGTTCAGCAACTTCTGCGGGAATTTCATTCTTCCCCCTCATGAGGTCCTTCTGGATGTTTTTGGACTTATAAAAGATTGGCACAAGTGGTGTTTTGGGAAAGAATGAGGCAGGACATCCAGGCCTTTGTGAAAGTTTACCCAATCTACCAACAGAACAAGTATGATGCCTTGTAGCCAGCGGGACTTTTACAACCAATACCTATCCCCTCTCAAGTCTGGGAGGATGTATCCATGGACTTCATCGAAGGTCTTCCTAAAGCTCATCAGGTAGACATTGTTTTGGTAGTTGTTAATCGCCTTACGAAATACAGTCATTTCCTTACTTTGCGGCATCCCTACACAACCAAAGAAGTCGCCAACTTATTCCTTAAAGAAATTGTTAAGTTGCATGGGTGTCCTCGCACCATAATATCTAATCGGGACAGAGTTTTCATGAGTCTTTTTTGAGGAGAAATGTTTAAACAATCCGAAACATAGCCCCACATGAGCACTACCTACCACCCCCAAACGGATGGGCAATCAAAAGTAGTAAACCGTTGTGTGGAGACTTATTTATGTTGTTTTATAGGACACCAGCCGCAACATTGGCCGAAATGGTTGGCTTGGACAGAGTATTGGTTTGACATAACATATAATCGCTCTTCTAGCATGACTCCTTTTAGAGCCCTATACGGTAGGGACCCTCCCATCCTTTTGAAATGCAGTGAGAATAGTTCAGTTGTGGCTGTCGTTGATTAACAATTGGTTGAGCGCAATCTCATCTTGGAAGAATTGAAAGCCAATTTGGCTAAGGCCCAGGAAAGCATGAAGCTTTATGCCGATGGCAAGAGGCAGGAAGTTCATTATACAGTGGATGACTCGATCTATTTGAAGATCCAGCCCTACCATCTTAAGTCCTTGGCCCGCAGAGTCAATGAGAAGCTCAGCCCTCACTTCTATGGACCTTATATGATCACTGAAAAAATCAATCAGGTTGCTTATAGACTCAATCTACCTCCCACTACCCGTATACATGATGTTTTTCATGTGTCCCAGCTTAAGAAAGCCACCTCCCACCCCTTGGCAGCACAAGCCACCTCCCACCCCTTGGCAGCACAACCTCTTCCAGACATCCTTATAGGTGATATGGTGTTACAAGTTGAACCTAAGCAGGCCCTCCGAAAACGACACTTGTTAGATGGCAACTATGAAGTGGAAATCACTTACAACCTGTAACAACACTTGGGAAGCGTATGACTCCATTTGCCAATTCCCTTCCTTTCACCTTGAGGACAAGATGGCACTCCTTGGGGAGGGTAATGATGGACCCCCGACAACCAAATAGTATAACTGAAAAGGATAGAAAGGGAAAAGCAAGGATTGACAGGTGGCACATCAGTACAATGAGTGTGATGAGTTAGTTAGAGTGGGAACCTAGAATAAAAAAGAGGAGGTTGGATAAGTGTGATATCATGAAATTTAGTGCGAAATTGTATAGGAGGAGCTGACCCTTGAAGATCAACCTATTATCTGCTTCTTTTATGTTCTTTTCCATTTGTAATATAGTTCTATTATTCTCTTACTACAAATATCAGTTTTATTTGATTGAATATTGTGTGTTGGCATGTTTGTTTGATGCTTGTTGGCTGTTGTGGTGAACTGAGTGTGAGATTGACTGAAGAATTAGAGTCAGGTTCCAACACTGATCATTAATTGTAGCTGGATCAAGATTTTTAGAACTTCAAATGTAGCAAATCACCAGTAATCGTTACAAGAGCATGCTCCATCCTTGATATGGTGAAAACGATTGGAATCCCTTAACACTATTTCCCTGCCAGTAGCGGCTGAAATGTATTTTATGGCAGTATGACAGTCTCTGCAAACACGAAGATTCTTAAAAACCCGGATGGGCTTTGATTTTGATGTGCTAATAAGACCAAATGCAACAGCAATTTTCTCACTGTGTTGAAACAAATATTGAACCTTCTGTTCCTCCTCTAATTCATGAAGAACAAAACTGGTGTTAGGGATATAGCCCAGTTCTTTTATTTTAAAAGCCAATTGGTCCAGTTCAGCATAAATCTCCTGTGCTTGTGGGTGACATGTTTCTCCAACGTGGAACTTGTGTACCTTATTTTCCACCTCTACCCAGCTACAACCCGCTTCTTTTATCAAATTTCTCTCTTTCATGCTCTTTCTGATATCTGCCACATCGTCCCATTGACCTGCAGAAGCATACAAGTTTGACAATAGGATATATGCTGCTGGATCGTTTGGATCCTGCTCCAGAATCATCTTTGCAGCATGTTTCCCAAGTTCTGTGTCACCATGAACATGGCAAGCTCCAAGAAATGTACGCCATACTAGAGCATCTGCCACAAAGGGCATTGATCTAATAAATTCAAGGGCTTCCTCAAGGGATCCAGATCGGCCCAACAAATCAACCATACATGCATAATGTTCCATTCTCGGAACAATCCCATGTTCTTCATACATTGACCTGAAGTGTTTCCATCCGTCAGAAGTTAAACCCACATGACTACAAGCTGACAAAACAGCAATATAGGTAATCCCATTTGGTCGTATTCCAGCCTCAAGCATTTCGTGGAATATTTCCAAAGCTCTGGCTGCAAATCCATGTTTTGCAAAAGCAGTGATCATTGAAGTCCAAGATATAACATTCCTATCATCCATCTCCTTAAAAACTTGGAAAGCAGCTTCTATGCTGCCACACCTAGAATACATGGATATCAAAGCATTACAAGTGCAGCAGTTAGACTCAAACCCAGATTTTATTATCCGAGCATGAATTTGCTCACCCTTACTAGTTGCAACAATACTTGATGCCCCATTCAAGAGACTAGCAAATGTGTGAGCACTAACCCCAACTCCTGAATCTTCAATTTCATTAAAAAGTTCAAAGGCCTCTTCTGAATTCAAATTTTTGGCATACGCATCAACCATTGTGTTATAAGAAACTAAATTCTTCTCAAATAAGGATTCAAAAGCCTTCCGAGCATCATCCATCCTACCAGATCGAGCATACATGCTAATAAGGGAATTTCCCACACAATTATCTAAAGCAAGACCCCTTTTCACAGCATGGGTGTAAACCTGTTCACCTAAACCTGAATTCAAAAGATTTCCACATGCTTTCAATACACTAGCAAATGTGAAATGATTCGGCGCAACATGTCCCCCCTGTATCATGTCACAGAACAGCTTTATAGCTTCCTTATCACACCCTCCACTCTGCACATATCCTGTAATAACTGCAGTCCATGACATAACATTATGTTCAAGCATCCGATCAAAAACCTTCCTAGAATAATCCATAGATCCATCCGCTGTGCACTTTGCATACATGTCTACCAAACTACAACCAACACAAACGTCTAATGCCAATCCTGTTCTTATAATCCAAGAGTGCAATTGCTGCCCTAAACTCAACACCTCTAACTCAGAACAAGCCGAAACAACCCCACTTAATGTAAACATATCCGGTACAAAACCACTTAAAATCATATCCTGAAACAAACCAATCCCATCTCCCGGGTACCCCAATTTCGCACATCTTGTAATCATCAATGTCCACGAAACCACATTTCTCTCAGGCATCTTATCAAACACCCTAAAAGCTGACTCCAAATCTCCACCACCTTTCACAAACATGTCAATCAATGCACACCCAACACACACATCACTCTCAAAATACCCACATTTTAGTAAAAACCCAAAAACTATTTTCCCAATCGAAAAACTCATCATGTTCGAACAGGCCCTAATCACAGCTGTAAAGCAATACTCATTAGGGTGAAATCCGCACTCAAGCATTTCAACGAACACAAGAAGTGCTTCAAATTGTTTCCCATTATTTGCGAAACACGAAATCATTGAACTCCAAGAAACCAAGTCTCGTTTCTCCCCCATAGTTTCGAATATCATACTGGCTTCATTCAAGTCGCCGCATTTAGAGTACAAGCTAATTAAAGAATTGAGAATAACTGAGTTGGGCTCCGGTTTTGAGTGAGTCATCAAATGCGAGTGCACGTGTCTGCCGAGGTGGAAGGCACGTGACCTGATGCAGGATTTGAGGAGGAAAGAGTAGGTGAAGCGGTCTGGGTGGATGTTGTGTTCAGTCATTAGATCAAGAGTGGAAATGGCCTTCTGAAGATGGCCCTCATTGAGGTGGTGGATCAGACGGCTGTTAAGAGGCTCAAAGTTGTGGGGTTGTTTGATCAACGGGGGTGATGATAGTTGAAGGTTTTGGCCAGAAGGCTTTGAGTGTTTGAGAGAAGGTGGAGGGAACTTGGCGGGAGCGGGAAGTGAGAGAGTTATCATCCTTCTTCCTCTTAACGGCTAACCGCTATATCTCTTAGCTTCATCTAGATTTATATCCATAATTTCTTTTTTATTTAAACCTTATAAAAAAAAAAATTATGATTTTTTTTCAAAAGAAATATGAATAATTTTCATTGATTATGTTACATTGTCTCTAATAAAAAAAAAAAAATTATGAATATATTTAAATAAAAAATTCACTTGATTTATCAATAAATGTATATAAAAAGTTTTTTATTGAATTATTATATGAACAACGCATCGTGATAGTATAATACTAAAAATGTATTATAAGTCCGAATACTTATATTAAAAAAAAAAAAAAAAAAAAGGCCACCAATACTTAAGAAAAATTATATATACAAATTGATGAATATCTTCCTTTAAAACTAAAATTCCAAAGAATTATGTAAAATCTAAGGGCACAAAATTTTTTAAGCTACATTGTGTGGTGTGTGTGGTGGTAGGGGCGGCGATGGTGGTAGGTGTCATGAGGGCAAAGGGGGTGGTGGTGGTAATCTTTGAGGAGAACCAAAATTGGGCAAGAAGCATTCAAGGTAAGCCATTCATCGATGCACTCAGCATGGAAGCAATGGAGGCAATGTGGCATTGTTTTGAGGGTCTCTCTTGGCTGTATTCAGACAAGCAAATGGAGCAAGTATTGTCATCAGGTTGGCAAACGGCGGCTCTCACCCAGAACAATTTTGGGGTAAGAGTCGATTGTGAGGGCATCAAGGCCTGTTACAAATGTGTTTGGTTGTGGCGCAATTGAGGGATTGAACTCTAGAAGAGTTGGGTTACTGTTTACAAACTTGAGCTTCCCACAAAGCACACATGAAAGTCCCAAAAGACATAACATTGTGGTACTCCGCTCCCACTATCACTGCAAAACGAGCACTCCTTGGAATTCCTGAGAATTATCAAATAAACTATTAACCCACTAAGAGATTAGATTAGTTGATTAGATTATTAATATATACATAGTCAACTCTATCTTTAATGATTGCACAAGCCTTGCTCAAAGTCAATACAAATAAGTTGCTATCTACAAACAACCAAATAAGGGATCTGCCGACTCTTTGATTAACAGTTTCACATACTCAAAATAAAAATTGTGGGAAATTTTATGTATATTAAGACTGACATCATGACTTTAGTTATCTATCATTAATGATAAATCTAATTGAATTACTGAACTACCTATTATATCCAAACATTATTCTTTCTTTCTTGATTGTTATTGTTAGAATGTAGGGTCTACTGGGTGTCTCAAATGAATTAACAAGAGATTATTGGATAATCAAACAACTCTGAATAATCTGAACATCCTAATCATTCAATCAAGGCATGAAAATCAAAAAGAAATAAAGAAAGCAAAAAAGAGCAAGACACAGTAATTTAGTTGACATGTTTTTCCATAAATTCGAAAAACAACAAAACATAAAAGAATACAAGAGGTAATGAAATCAATCGAGTGATAGGCTAAAAGAAGAACAACTGAGTAAAAACCCTAACAAAGCCCTGAACCAGGCTCTAATACTACCCTGCACTGCCATCACACCTTCTTTTTCATATTTTTTCCTATTTTCTCTCAACACAGTCTCTTCTAAGGTGACCCTCCTTATGACAAAAAAAAAAAAAAAAAAAAAAAAAAAAAAAAAAAACTTCCATTTTCCTAATTTAGATTTCATTATGTCTATTTTGCCCTCTTTTTTCCAGTTTTTCCTCTTAGACCTTTCTCTAACAATAAGACATTCTCCATCACTGCTATGTTTATCTCTCATCCTATTCTCACTATCCTTAGCTGAAATAGCTTTAACCTCCTCTAATTTTGTGTTTGTCTACCATATTTTAGGGTTTCCACACAGTTAAGAGTACGGCTTTGGTAAAGAGTTTAACAATGTTACAGCTAGATCCTCATCATCAATCTCTACTAAAATGCTTTCTAGATCTTGTATAATTTTTAGAAAATCATCCTGTTATCTTTCAGAGATTTTTGTTCATCCATTTTAAACCCAAATAATCTTTGTTTTAAAAACAAACTATTGGACAACTTTAGATTGATAAAGGGCATTAACATGTTCTAGATTTTAGCAGCTGTTTTCTCATTCTAAACTCTCGAAAGACTTTGTCAACCCAATCCAAGGATAAGGAGCTTTTAGCTTTATTCACACATCCTGCTTCTCAATTGCTACCATCGTTTCAGGCAGTTCAATTTCCCCTTTTAACGTAGAGCTAACCCTTCCTTTATCAACACAGCTTCATCTTCATCTTCTATAAATTGAAGTCGTTTTCTCCTGTATACTTTTCTGTTTATCTACTCTGTGAGGAAGAATACACCCAAATTGAAAACCCAAGTTCAATTAAGATCTGCCTCCTCTTCTGCAACAGTCACACTTAAATACACCATCATCCTCTCTAAAACAACCTCCACCTGTCTTTGATTTCTCTAGCTGTGTTTTGGTTCTTCTTTGCTTGCTTACTTCTTTCCTTTTGGGTAATCAATTAGTTTATTGATTGGTGTTTGGGCTGAAGTGTTAATCAATAAACTTAGGATCTAATAGTTATTATTATTATTATTTGAACAGGGGTGTCCGGACCAGCTTGCTTGAAGTTAAACCGCATATATTCTCCGATGTTAACCCTATTAGCAATCAAGGTGATTCGAACTTAGGACTTCTTGAGTAATATGCTCAAGAGTTTTTATCAACTACTCGGCCACCCAAGGGTGGTTTATTGATTCTTTGCTTGCTTAAAACTCACACATGACAAAAATACTAAATTCTTATAAGAAATGCCAAGGACACCCTATTATAATCTTCTCATTTACATCCCAATCTCCCTTATTAGAAAATAATTCCAATTTACTTGGTCTTCAATTTCTTGTTCGAAGCCAATAATGAAGGAATGAAAGAAAAGAAACCTATACTAAACAAATTTAAAAAAAAAAAAAAAAAAAAAAAAAAAAACCAAAAAGCAAGTGATAATAAATAATAATATGAAAGAACCATCTAAAATATTTAATGCAATTCACGTTTTTCCTAAGATATGATCATTTTGAGCCTATTTTGAGACTAAAACTTGAAATATAATAAGCAAGAAAAGTATATGGTAAAGAGATAATTAATTGAAGTTGCATTTAGATTAATTATTACCTTCTTGAGATGAATATGAGCAACCAATTTCAAAGGTAGAATTACTCTGAATCACACCCGTCCATTCCGTCTTCACATTTCCCGCACTTGGGTTCACCCCAGCCAGCCTCAGATTATCACTGAGGTCGACGACGCAATCTGCTCGTAAAACGGCCATTCAACCGGCACTTCAACCGCGGCAAGAACCTTGCAAGAGATGAAGACGACAGAAAGTTGACAACTCTTTGAGATGACGAAGCAAAAACGGTGTAGTTGAGCCACTCATGCAAGCAATAGGGTTCAAACGATACAACAAATAACTTAAAGAGCAATAAAGAAGGTATACTTCTGATTATAACAGCACTGAAGGGCGACCGAGAGATTAGAGACAAAATACGTCAGGCAGGCAGATTTTAGGATCATTGATCCATATTTCTTGTTTGGAATAATCTATAGCTTGGAGTTTGAATTTTCCTGAATTCGGTAACTCAAGTACTGTTTGGTTCACAGTGCACAGGTTACATTAAAGCCTGGATAGCCACAGGATTTGTGTTGCAACATCCGGTTGACGATCCGAAAAGGGAAGCGAATCACCGGCTCGTAGCGACGGCAGACGGTGGATCTGCAGGTGGGTATGGTGGCTGCAGTGGTGGAGGAGAGGAGGAAGAAGAGATGATGAAGAGTTTGAAGATGTCCATTTGTAGAGGGGAGAATGTTTGAGGCATGATGGTAAATAGATATTGGATACTAGCAAATTGATATAATAATGAAAGTTGAATTTATTATAAGGCATAATATATTTATTTTTATGCAAAATGTATGAGCTCACTTAGATTTGGGGTCATATTGGCTTTGTTTAGTTTATTAATAATATATGGTGTGACATGAACAGGAGGCAATTGCCAATTTGGGTTGCTGGAGATTTTGTTTTGAAGTTTGTCTCTTGGCCAACCAATTAGGTAATTCTGACAGACTCTAATATTATGTAATCTCAAATCATCCTTGGGTTGTGCAAATCTAGTGGTTAGATGACCAAATCATTTTTTGTAACTTTGAAAGGTAAGAGTTGAGATTTATACACAACTATTGTGAAAAAGGACATCCTCTATGTTTATATATGTAGGAACGTGACGCTTCTGATTATAAAGAGAAAATGGTTAAAAGTAAAAAATTATAGTGCTTCTAATTGTGTTCTATATTTAAGAGTATCTTTGTATGAATAGAGAGCATCTTTATTAATTTTTAAATATAAAGAACACAATTTTTATTCAAATCTAATAGATTTTAAATTTAATAAATATACTCTTATTTTTAAGAAAAAAACTTAATGGAAAAGAAAATAGTAATAAAATGCATAAGAACTATAGTTTAATTAAAATTATGATAAAGAGTAAAATTTAACTCTTTAAATATAGAAAGTCAAACTTACTCTGTAATTTATATTTAAAAATAAATTTTTATTTTTATGAATAAACTCTTTATAATGAAAAAATTAGATTACATAAAGAACATTTGAAAATGCTCTTATAAGTGTGTTTACTCATGTGTGGCTGTTTTTCTCTTTTCACTGAAGTTCGGCCCAACTAATCGTCGAGGAGGCTAATACAATAACTCATCACGGCCAAACTGATGCTCATGTAAAAAATCTTTGATGTTCAAATAGAGAATTAAACTTGAAACTATGTGTCTATTCACACCATCTTCAATTCACTCTAATCATAATCATCTTATGACATCTTGATTGTTATTGAAATTTACATTTAAGGTTGGTGATGATCAAAATATTTCAATGGGAATTGGTTGGGAAGATTGAAGCATTGGATTTAATGAACCCACCAAGAATCCTTCTAAAACACGCTCAAAATTTTTCATTTTCAGCTTAACAACATTATCTCTTTGGTTCACCAACCCAAAACCCATTTCCATTTTCTGCTGTAAATAACAAGAATTTTCATCATTAATTTATAATTTTAAACATCCACAAAAATACAACTAAAATTAAAATTGATCTTCAATTGAGTTCTCGATTGAACCCATCTGGGTAATTCTCCAATCAAAATTTATTCATGTAAAATATAAATGAAATGGTAAAATTAAAAGTCGTAACAGCGACCGTTTCGTTCCCAGTCACCGTACCGAGTTGGCTCAGGGCCTCTAGGCCCACCGACTTCTCCAGTCTGTTTATTCACCAAATCGTCGTCTTCCTCTCCATCTTCTTGATCTTCTTCGTTGTGATTTTCAGAGTTTGCTTTGAGGGTCTCTTCTTGCTCTTTATTGGGGGTTTTCTCTTGGTGCTGCTGTTGAGGCTGTTGAGTTGACGAACTGATGAGTCGGCTCACAGAGTTTGAACAGATTGAAGACTCGGATATAGGGAAAGGTGAGGGGAGTTTGGGTGAGATTGATGTGAATAAACGGCCAAGATTGTTTCTTGCCATAGTTTATGAGCTCTGGATCTTGTTGAAGAAGAAAAATAACGCCAACAACAATAAACCCTAATTTGATTTGCCTTGAAACTGATATTGAAATGGAATTTCGCCACGTGTTAAGCTGTTGCAGAATCCACGTGGCGACAGGCAGAGCTTGCAGCGTGTTAGGCTTTTACGTGCTCGTTTGGTCATCAATTATCATCCTTTTTAAAGAATAAAAGTTAATTACGAAAAAGCCCTTTAAAAATGTTCTAAAAGTGCTTCCGCCTTAAAATTCCCAAAAAAAGCAGTCCGATCAAAATACCAAACAGGCCCTTAGGCGCATTATACATGTTATTCTGTTATTCTGTGGAAGACCCAGAGACGCAGATAAGTACAGTGAAAGGAAGAGATCATGAAGAGAGTTCCACGCATTAAATTCCCACAAAGACACAAACAATCCCCATCTTCAGGTCTGTGTTTAATTTTTTTTATTCTTTATTTTGCTTCACTGTGCATTTTCATGTCTGGCTTTTCAATGTTTTTTGTAAATTGTTGTTGGGAAGATATAAGAAAACTGAGCTCAAGCTGATTATGTAAATGCTATATCTGTTCTTTCGTGGAAATTAGTTCTGGGTTAATTTAAAGTTTTAATCTTGTCCAACAATTTGATATTGGAAAAATTGTTTGCTACTTATAAGTTAAATTTAATTTGACAGAATGATCTTCAGTTGGAGACCTGTTTTGATCAATGTGATTCGATGAAACTGATGAGTTAGAGGTGCTGGATTTAGTATGCCATGTATTATTTTAAAGATGTTTAGAGTTATAATATGCTAATCTGTGATTTTGTGTAATAATAATGGATGTCAAGAGTTTGTATATGGCTTTTGGGATTGAGGTTATGTCAAAAAGAAATAAACAAGAAATTAGGTATGGTCAAGTGTTATAAAGATTTGAGAGAATTTTGTGTTCACCGTTGTTCAATTACTTCTACTTATGCTTCCTCATCACTCAATGTCTTGACAGAAGATAGATATGATCTGTGAAATTGAGGTTTAATCGTTTTTAAGTATGTAAAAGGGAATTTCTTATCACCTTGAGGACGATTCTATAATTTGCAAATGCTGATATCATATCCCATCCACTCTGAAAATTCCTAGTCAAATCACTTATGTGGGCATGGTTTGTAAGAAAGTGTGTTTATGCCATGATAACTCTTTTCAAAATTGTTTTTGTGTTCTGTTTTCTTTTGTTAGGCTGGATCTTTGTTTCATATTTATCAACATCTTAAAAGTATCATGATATTCATTGAATAGGTTCTGCCTCCCAATCTACATCGACAAATGGGAGCACTGATAAAAATCTCAGTTCAAGGTCAAGTTCAGATGTTCCAGCACCACCTATAAACACTGCTGTGGGAGGAAAAGCTTCTCTTCAGCCAAAACGTACACCCGTCTCTGAGAAGGAGATAGAGGCCATTCTGGTGAGAAAAATATCCTTTACCATATACTATGGTGGAACTAACTGTACCGTTAATGCTTAAGATTTTTGACAAGGAGTTATGTCAAGTCATGCTTCGAAACAATCTACATTCTCTAAGCTTCTACTTGAATCTGCCTAGTTGAACTATAAACAATACAATTTTACAATGTTCACTTTACTGGGAACAATGAGATCTCACCAATGAGCTTTTCAGGGTCAAGGGGTGAAGCACCAGACAGGGCTCGATATTGTTTCTGTGCATAGTAGTTTAGACTTGAGATTCATTGTAGTGTCAATTTGAAAACTTCAAGGCGATTACGAAATATTATGCAAGGGGTGACTCATAGAACAGAGTAAAAAAATAAAAATTGGTTTGGCGTTTTAAGCCAGTAAATTTTCTGTATGCTGATTTTAGCTTCTTGTTTCTGATGCAGTTGGGAGGTTGCTTCTGATCTTAGGATTGGTATGCTGTATTGAGGAAATGCAATCTGCAATAAAAAACTTCTAAGGGAATCTTTAGCATTTTCATATTTGCATGTGAAGAGGTTGTAATCTCTTTTATTCCTTTAATCATAAATCTTATCGATGCTTATGAAGGATATATATGTTTTCTGAATCAATTGGTTATCCTTTACTACTGTCCTTTCTTTCTATACCTGCAAAAACAAAACAAAAGCAATTCTTTTTGGTTAGAAACTTAGGTGTTATAATCAAGTAAAAAACAATGTCTAGCATTATTTGAAGAAAATTCTGGACACCGCTATCCGCCACCTCTCCACACCGTTTTGGTCTCATCAATGGCCAATGTCATTGATTGCATTCCTAACATTTTTTGTAGTCTTTTATCCCTCGAGTCTTTATGCCCATTGATTAGAGCTTCTCTAATGGATTTTTGTTGAGCTTATTCAAGCTCTACTAAACTTGTTTGGAAAATTCTCCCTACACAATTTATTAACCCAAAAGATTATCACCAATTTTTGCTTAAAGCTACTGCATATACTGAAGAAGCAAAGGATGTACTATTTATTTCAATAATCTCACAGGGAAAATTACAATTACAATTACAATTCAGCTCATAAATTTAATAGGAAACGCTTGGCAACCTTGAAACCTTATTAAAGAAACACCCATAAATAGTAGCATAATAGTTTCTTTCCCAAGCAAATAATTAAGAGCCAAAACTGTACATTGTTCCTTCCCATCACAATAGATAGCTAAGCTAACTCAAACAAAAGCTGCAACAGAAACACTATAAACATGCTGTAGATAATGAACACCACAGTATCCTAAACTAACACCAAAATCCCTAATTCACCGCCCCATCAGAGCTACCCTTACGTTTTCTGTTCAACCTTTCCAACTTCCCCCAAAGATCCATAACCCGGGAGATTGATCCCTTGCTGGTTTCTTCGATATGTACTTCACTCTTTCATATTGTCCACGGGATTTGATTTGGAGCCAGTTGTGTATCAGTTCTACCGCTTTTGAGCACTGTATGAAGAAGGAAAGAATCCAGTTCACTTAAGTCATAACTCTCTGTTTGTCTTGTTGCCTCTTGGTGAAGTCCTGTTGCCTCTTCTCAACATCATCTTCATGACTGCCACTGCCAGATTCGGACTCTTCTCTCGTGAGGTATTTATCCACCTGTTCAGCGGCTTGGCGACCCTCTGAGATTGCCCACACCACAAGGGACTGGCCTCGCCGGCAATCCCCAGCTGCAAAGACCCCTTCCGCACTGGTTGCAAAGCGGCCATAATCTGCCTTGAAATTTGACCGGTTGTCTCGCTCCAATCCCAGCTTCTCTGCCACAGTCTGGGAAAAACATCAAACCGCATGAGATTCAGTTTTGCCAGCTCCTTTCCTCCTCCATTTTTTTTTTTTTTTTTTACTGATCAGTACAACTCTGACTAATTAAATTGTATATTTTATTCGTCATAATCTTCCAACTTAGATTAGTAATTTTGTATTTAACTTAGTAATGTGCAAGTTCAATCATGGTCAAGCCAATTGTTTTAGGTTAAGCATTTTCCTATGCGCTCTTCTTGTAGCAAAGAAATCATAAAGAGTTAAGGGATATAAAATACTGACCGGCTCAGGACCAAGGAAACCCATGGCTAAGAAAACTAGGTCAGCTTCAATAATTTCTTCGGAGCCTTCAACCTCCTTAAATTGAAACTTCCCACTAGCATCCTTCTCCCAATGGACGCGTACCACCTCAAGTCCTTTCACAACACCATTTTCATCTCCCACAAACCGCTTAGTCAATACCTCATAAGATCTTGGGTCTTTGCCAAACTTGGCAGCAGCTTCCTGGTGCCCATAATCTACACGGAAGACTCTAGGCCACTGCAAAAGCAAAATAGAAAAAGATAAATAACACAAAACACCTAAACAAATGGATGCAATGTCAATTTACTTGATCCTGCCTTTCATTTAATATGCGTAATTAACTTTTATTCAACATAAAATAAAAAAATATTGTGAATTTTATATATGTGAACTATAAAATATGAATGAAAATAGAAGCACCAATCAGAGCAGGGACTCAGAAGAGGCATGATACCATCAAGGACCCAAACCAAATGCAAGGAATAAATGTGACCACATGAGGGACCATACAACAGTTAATAGCCCCAAGCAGGACAATTAATACTCCCAAGCAGGTGTATATCCGAACATAAACTAAAAATGCATGCTACAATGCACAAGATAGGAGCCTGGAGGAATATCCATACCTGGGGCCAAGGGTTGCCTGGAGCCCTAGATTTTGGTGGCTGAGGTAGAAGCTCAAGATTAACAATGCTACTACAACCATGCCGGATGGATGTCCCTATGCAGTCTGTACCAGTGTCACCTCCACCAATGACGACTACTTTCTTGTCCTTAGCAGAGATGTAGTTACCATCCTGAAGATTACTATCAAGCAAGCTCTTTGTGTTTTTATGAAGGAACTCCATGGCAAAATGGACGCCTGACAATTCCCGTCCAGGTACAGGAAGGTCCCTGCATCAAGTAAAACTCATAGATTTAAACATGTTCACATATTTTTATTGATATGATGGGTTGAGCAGTTATGTTCTGACGTTACAGACTGACAAAACAAAGACATGACAGCAAAAATGTGATGTCAAGTTCAAGAAATTATTCGACTTTCCAGTCCCAGTGACACCTACCTCGGTTTTGTGGCACCTACTGCCAAAACAATGGCATCATTCTCCTCTCGAAGCTGATCAAGAGAAAACGAAGGATCAACTCCAACATTAGCATTCACAACAAAATTAACACCTTCTTCAGCCATGAGGTTAACCCGCCGCTGAACTACATCCACTTTGTCAGTCTTCATGTTGGGGACTCCATACATCATAAGCCCTCCAATTCGATCTGCACGCTCATAGACAGTCACCAAATGACCCATTCTGTTAAGCTGATCAGCAGCAGCCAAGCCAGATGGTCCACTTCCAATAATAGCGACCCTTCTCCTGTAATAATAAACATGATAACGACACTCAATATATGCCCAACATTGAACATAAAGCACTTGAAGTTGAGATATTTGAGTTGGTAAAATTCCATATAATATGGTCATTTTATTTAATTTCCTTGCTCCAGAAAATTATTTTGCCAATGGAATCACTGCAGAAAAGAAAATATCTTCAATATAATGAGAAAAAGAAAAGGCATACCCAGTTCTCCTCAGAGGAGGCCGTGGCACCATCCAACCCTCCTCAAACGCCTTGTCTATGATGCTGCACTCGATATTTTTGATAGATACTGGATTCTCAATAATGCCAAGTACACAAGAACCTTCACAAGGTGCAGGACACACTCGACCAGTGAATTCTGGGAAGTTATTTGTCTCAAGGAGTCGATCAAGTGCTTCATGCCACCTATTTTGGTACACTAACTCGTTGAATTCTGGTATTTTGTTTCCAAGTGGACAACCAGAGTGCTCCTACATTTTTGAAAGAGGAACCTTATTTAAGGTGAAATTTCAAATTCAAAGAACTAGTAAAACTATTTTAAAACATACCTGGTGGCAGAAAGGGGTACCACAATCCATACAACGGGCAGATTGAGTCTTTAAAAGTGGGCCAGGCGTTGATTCCTCCATAACTTCCTCCCAATCATTCATCCGAACATTAGGATCCCTGTATTGAACGCCCTCACGCTCATAAGCAATAAAACCCCGATGTTTAACAGCATCAGCAACCCGACTAGGCCTTTTGGTTTCTTCAGCTTGATCAACCTTCCATAAATTTCATCATTCACATTAGTACAAACAGACTAAACAGTAAAAGACATCAGTAAGAAAATGTAAAAAAATATATCAATACTCCCAACTATCAAGCATGAGCAGACTTCTTCTGATTACATAAAGTTTGTTATATTTAATGTTAAGTTGTCATAGAAACAAAAATATCAAACTCCCAAAAGGTCTAAACCAAAATGATTAGCGTAATTGAGGTTACTGCTATATAGTCTGTAGTTTAAATGATATATTAACCATATAAATAAGCGAACTTCAAAACCTAACCACCAGCAAGAGAGAATGGAGAAAAGAGGTACCCAGTTCAGGGTATAAATGTACCCACACAGGGAGTTTGAAGGTAACTCCAACTGCTCACAAGTTTTTCATGATAAGAAAGAGGGGGAAACATAGCGTCATGGCCAAATTCCAAAGTGGTAAAGTGATGTGGGAAGTTTGAAAGAAAATTTGGTGAAATAAGATTTACCTCACTGGATTTCTCATTCAAAGATGCAGCAGCCAACTTCTTGAGCTCTTCAAAAGCATCTTTTTCCATTAATTCTGCCTCATCTTGTTCCTCAGCTTCTTTGTCAGAACGTTCCATTGCCTCTTTTGAGGCAGCTTCTTCTTTCATGTTTGCAAGAACTCGTTTGTAATCCCTTGGAAAGACCTTTATAAATTTAGGCAAAAGATTCTCAAAGTCGGAAAGAACTTCTTTGGCCAACTGGCTGTTTGTGTATCGCTGATGTTGCTGTATCATCATTCTCAGAGTCATAATATCCTCTTCCTCTTCGACCTTATCAAGATCTACCAGCTCAGGATTGCATCGAGAATGAAATTTTCCATCCACATCAAGAACATAAGCAATACCCCCACTCATACCAGCCGCAAAATTCCTTCCAGTTTTTCCAAGCACAACAACTGTCCCGCCAGTCATGTATTCACATCCATGATCACCAACACCTTCAACAACAGCTTTCGCTCCTGAATTACGGACACAGAATCTTTCTGCCGCCATTCCATTGAAATATGCCTCCCCATTAATGGCCCCATAAAGAGCCACATTTCCAATGACAATGTTTTCTTTTGGATCAAAACGACTTCCCTTTGGTGGATAAACTACAACCTTGCCGCCAGACAATCCTTTACCAACATAGTCATTGCTGTCACCTTCAAGCTCCAACAAGATGCCAGGGCAAAGGAAAGCTCCAAGGCTCTGCCCTGCACTTCCACTAAGTTTGATGTGAATGGTATCTGCAGGAAGCCCTGCCAAGTGGTAACGCTTAGTCACTTCATGGCTAAGCATTGTTCCAACAGCACGGTTCACATTGCAGATTGGTGTTTCAATGTACACAGGAAGACCTTTCTCCAAAGCGGCCTTGGACAAAGCAATGAGCTTCTGGTCCAAAGCCATGTCCAAGCCATGATCCTGTTTTTGGACACAGTACTGGGCAGCTTCAGGCCGAATATCAGCAGCAGGTCTAAGTAACAGGGAGAGATCAATATTCTCCAGCTTCTCATTAGTCTTTGCAACTTCCTTATCAACCTCAAGCATGTCTGAACGACCAACCATCTCATTCAATGTCCGGAAACCAAGGTTGGCCATGATCTCCCTCACCTCCTCAGCAAGCATAAAGAAGAAATTAATAACATGCTCGGGTTCGCCAGCGAACTTTTCTCGTAGAACAGGATCTTGGGTAGCAATGCCAACAGGACAGGTATTCTTGTGGCACTTCCGCATCATGATGCAGCCAAGTGTAATAAGAGGTGCAGTGCTGAAGCCAAACTCTTCTGCCCCAAGAAGTGCAGCAATGGCCACGTCTCTTCCAGTTTTTAGTTGACCATCTGTCTGAAGAACTGTGCGGCCACGGAGATCATTAGCAACCAGAGTTTGGTGGGTTTCAACCAAACCAAGTTCCCATGGGAGGCCAGCATTTTTAATGCCAGTCCATCGAGAAGCCCCTGTACCTCCATCATGACCCGAGATCAAGACGTGGTCAGCATGCCCCTTCACAACACCACTTGCAATTACTCCGACACCAGCTTCAGATACTAACTTCACACTAATTTGAGCCCCTGGATTGGCATTCTACAGGGAAAAAAAAATTCTAGTAGACTGGAAGACCAATTGGAAATAATAAAACATAAAATTCACGTCACATAATGAACAAGACCCACATCATTACTTCATGAAGAGAATGATAAACAAGACAAGGAGAAAGCAAGAACAGCTCTCAGAACCCATAACAGCAAGACATCACAGTATAATCCAAACATAGAAGTACATGAAGCAGAAATATGCATGTACCTTAAGATCATGGATCAATTGAGCAAGGTCTTCGATTGAGTATATATCATGATGGGGTGGGGGACTAATAAGTCCAACTCCAGCAGTAGAATTTCTGGTCACTGCAATGTCTCCTATAACCTTGTGGCCGGGAAGTTCACCTCCTTCACCGGGCTTAGCCCCCTGTTCAACAAGGCAGAGCATACTTAAAATAAAATACTTCACGGAGAATAAAAGAACCCAGTTCATATTTAACCTCACCAAATCAAAACGTAGGTATCATTAAAGATGCAAAAGCACCCAGGGGTGCCAAGGTGCTTTTGCAGAGACAGCATCATCTGCCATGAACATAAAACCATAAACAAGAGGAACCTCTGTTCCAAAAGGAATACAGGGGCTAACTAGGAATAGCTGACATCAACAGCATAACTATAGCCTAACAGCTTCTTGAATATTAAAGGTTATATCATTAAGCACATACCTGTGCCATTTTTATTTGTAGTTCATCAGCATTTGTGAGGTAATAACTCGACACTCCAAATCTCCCACTTGCAACTTGCTTGATGGCACTCCTCTTTGGATTCATTGAACCATCAGGAAGAGGCTCCATACGAGATGGTTGCTCACCTCCCTCACCTAAAGCAAATATTAATAATAGTTATTACATAAGATAATATAGACAAACTCTTAAAAATAACAGAGCAAAGTAAAGCCTGGAAACCAGCACTTTTGATCCAAAAAACATAAACTAATATTGGTAGCCCTAACTTCAGAAAATACACCACGTATTTTGACCAAAAATCTCCTTAAAAATCAAAGCTTGGACATAGGAAAGCCATGATATGTAGTATAAAAATGTTCAGCAAGCGAAAAAGGTGGCTTTGATGAAAGTTATAACAAACCTTTACCAAATATTTAAATGGCACCACTGTGATTTAAGTAAGACCATGACATGATATAGCAAAACATACCTGTGTTAGATTTCCCACCAATTTTATTCATGGCAATAGCCAGTGTTGTGTGCGCCTCCAATGATATCGATCCATAACTCATTGCCCCAGTACAGAACCGTTTCACAATTTCACTTGCCGGTTCCACTTCCTCCAGGGGAACTTTCACCTCTGCCTCCTTAAACTTCAACAGACCACGTAAATTGCAGTTTTTGTTCAACTCCTGAATGCGCTTGGAGTATTCCTTATAGGCAGCAACACTGTTACCCCTGGCAGCTTCTTGCAGCTTTGCTATAGCAAGAGGATCATTCAAGTGAATCTCACCATTTTTCCTCCAATGATAATCCCCAGGATTGGGCAGTGCTACAGCTTCCGCACTTCCAGGAGGGAACACCCGCGTAGGAAATGCCAACTCATGCAAGTGAAGCGCATCATGGGCAAGCATCTCAAATGTTGCCCCCTCTACCCTGCTTGGAGTTCCAGCAAAGCACTTCTCAATCACTTCTGATGAAAGGCCCAGGGCTTCAAAAATCTGAGCACCCTTATATGAGGCTAAAGTTGATATCCCCATTTTGGCAAGAACTTTCATCATTCCGTAGTTGCTTGCCTTGAAATACTTCTTGACCAACTCCTCCTTTGAATGGAACTCACCATTAGATTTCGGTGGGATCTTGCCATCAACCTGTAATCTCCAAATTGCCTCTATGGACAAGTATGGGCAAATAGCATCTGCGCCAAATCCAACAAGCGTACAGAAATGGTGCACCTCTCGTGGTTCAGCTGATTCAACTATCAATCCTATACGAGTGCGCTCAAGCTTTTTAACAAGGTGATGATGGACAGCACCAACAGCCAAAAGGGAACTCACAGCAACACGGTTTGATGAAAAAGCTACAAGTTCAAAAAACAAAAAGGTAAATTAATACAATTATTGGGAGAAAGATAATTGTGTATACAAAACTACTGCTCTTAAAACAAAATATAATACCTCTGTCTGAAAGCACTAACAATGTATAACCCTCCTTGATTGCTTCCCGTGCCTCAGCGCAAATCCTATCCAAGGTTTCTTCCAATCCCTTCCTTCCGCGGTTCTTAGAATAAGTTATGTCAAGAACTTTACTTCGCCAACCTCTGTAATTCATCTTTCTAATTGCTTCCATTTCTTCAATGGACAACAGAGAGCCTTTCAGAGATAAGCGGTGACATTGTTCTTCTGTTGTTTCTGTCAGATCACCTTCTGGACCAATCATACATTCCATGGAAGTGACTATTTTTTCTCGAATAGGATCAATTGGAGGATTTGTCACCTGAGCAAACATTTGCTTGAAATACTCAAATGTGAGTTTTTCTCTATCAGACATAACAGCCAAGGGTGCATCATTTCCCATTGAGCCAAGAGCTTCTGTGCCATCTTTTGCCATGGGTAGCAATAACATCTCCAAAGCTTCAACAGTGTAGCTGCAAACAGAATCCAGAGTTCGAATATTATATAAAAGTCGATATAAGAAACAGACTTAAGTAAAAGTTGTATCAAATGCAAGAAGGAAATTAACATACCCAAAAGCTTTTAATGGAGCTAATAACCCATGAATTCCCAGGTTCTCCATGCTATCATCATTATTAGATGCCTATAGTTACAGTATACATTATACCACAACGAGCATTAGCCATAATGAGAATAAATCATGAAGTAGAGAAAAAAATAAATGCACCAAAGTAGAACAAGACTTACAGGCACAACTCCAGATATTTCTGGAACAACCCTTTCTGATTCTTTAACAGACTCAACTATATCCTTCAGTTCAATCTTTTGCCTTTTAAGCCACTCCCCATAAGGTCTTGCCAGTGAATATTGATGCTTCAAGGCTTCATCATCCACAACAACATGCTTCTCAAAATCCACCAGGAGCATCATTCCAGGGTTCAGTCTTCCTTTCCTGAGCACATCTTCAGGAGGATTGTCCACTACACCCACTTCACTAGCCATGATTACCCGTCCACTGTGTGTGACGTAAAACCGACCAGGACGCAGTCCATTGCGATCCAGAGTAGCTCCAAGATAACGGCCATCAGTAACTGCAAATGACATATGCATGAGTAAAAGACCACAAACTGATATCTGCAGAAAATTTTTCAAAGAATAAACAAATTACATGATATAAGAGCAGGTCCATCCCATGGCTCCATAAGAGCTGAGAAGTACTGGTATAAGGCCTTCCGCTCAGGATCCATGTTCTTATCATTTTGCCATGCTTCGGGAATCATCATCATTATAGCTTCAGGTAGACTTCTACCTGCTCGAACAAGAAGTTCAAGGACACCATCAAAAGCTCCTAAAGAAGAAAAAAGATTTTCAGACAAATGCCCACCAAAACACTAAAAATCAAACACACAAATGGTACAGTTCTTATTTATTCATATCTCCATTACTTTTCATGGACAGTATGAAGGGGGAAACACAGCCTCATTTTTAATTATTCAAATAATTGGTGTGCGAATGGTCATAAGCAATTTGTCAAGTTCAAATTCACCTGAATCAGATGAACTAGCATCCACAATTGGCAAAAGTTTCTTCATCTCATTCTTTGAGAGTCCAAGCTCCTTACACTTCAATAGACCCTCACGTGCCTTCATCCTATATTACATATAAGATAAATTAGCCAAAAATCCTCATATATCAGCGTATAGCTCAATTACAGTTATATCAATTTTATTCTCCAACTATGCTAGTGGACTAAAGTCATACACACACACCAGTTAACACATTCAACAGAACAATCAACTAGTTTTTTTTCAGTAAATACCAGTTCACATTGCCTCGTAGTGTATTAATTTCCCCATTGTGGCCCAAGACACGCATAGGTTGAGCACGATCCCAGCTGGGAAATGTATTTGTGGAAAATCGTGAGTGTATCTGCATAAACAACAAAAAGAACAAAGATTATTATTCACAATTCCAGCCATACCAGACAAATATCGGAAACTGATCTGAAACTGCAGAGATGAAATTGTGTTCAGAGCACTTCAGTAGACTTCATACTACAGTGCCAATAAAAAAATCATGGAAACCCTAAGCTACCTTGACCTAACACAATTTCCTTTCCACCAATAAACTGGAAGTTTCAACCCCAAACAACTGTCATAGAGAGCACTGCAGCAAGTTTCTGCAAACATGATTTACTTGGCAATGAGGTTTCTTACCAACTCAACCAAGGCATCCAATCCAGCATCCAAATTCAAATAGTAATCAAGGGAGTGGAAGAACTTAAGAGATCATTCAAACTTCAATGCCTCAGAAGTCATTCCTCAACCTTGCATCTCTTCAGTTACCGATGGTTCCTATGCTGTTTGTTAAAGTATTGAGTTAGTGGACAAAGAAGGAAAGTGAATGGATTATTTATTTACCAGGGCCATGTAGCTCGTAAACCTTTCATTGCCAAGATCTGCATAATAGTAATCCCTCAACTGAATCGGCTTCAATTGACCTTTGTAAACAACAGTCCTGCATAAACCAAAAACCCATATTAACAATCTAGTCAAAGCCAAATAGCACTAATCCCACTCAAACAACCCAGCTTTCTGCAGTACACACCGTGAGGAAAGAGAACATATATAAAAGTCCCTCACACCACCGTGTTGGAGGTTTAATGCAGCTCTTATTGCGACCATTGAAACCCTTCTTAGTATGTACATCTGTAAAACATAAAACATTTATTAAGCAAATGCTACAAGATCAATACAAAAATTAATCAAGTGAAATTATTCATCATTCAAATAATTCAAATTCCTGTGAGATCCTGTGACTGTGTCTCAAATGTCATCATTGGCTTATAATTGGAATTTTCTTGTCAGAATGAAAACTTAATTAGCCTTTATTTTTTGATAAACTGTTCCAGGAAAAAGCAAAATAAATTTTATACTTCAGTGTTTAATACCTGCTGTTCAAAATCAGCTTTTGACCTGGGGGTAGGTGTAAGGAAAACCTGTTCAATCACAGGTTCGGTGTTCAAAGCAGCATTTCCCAACCCAGAATTATCAGTTGGTACTAATCGCCATCCAAGGACGGTATGTCCAAGAGACTCAGCGACCTTCATAAAAAACACGAAACACTCTCATCAATTTCCACCAAAAATGGAAGTATAAATAATCTTACAATTAGACAAACAATGCCATGTAACACCAAAAAATTACCTTGGTAAATACATTTTTACTTTCTTCCTTCCGGCTCTCCGATTGGGGCAAAAAGAACATCCCAACAGCATATTCACCTGGTGGCGGAAGCTCAAACCCAACATCCTTGGCAACCTTAAATAAGACAATTCAATAACAATCATTATCAGCACTTCAAACCCCTATCACAGGAAATCCTAACAGAAGAGTGGACATATTTTATGTTAACCCAAATAAATCAAAATGAAATAAACCAAAACGGCAGTATAAATTAACAAAACGATAGTACCTCTTTATAGAAGTCATGAGGAAGAGCCACGAGAATTCCAGCTCCGTCACCGGTGTTCGTTTCACATCCACAAGCTCCTCTATGCGTCATCCGTATCAACATCTCCAAAGCATCCGATATCTACGCATGCAAATAATAATAATAATAATAATCAGAAAACTAAGCACAAAAGCAAACCAAACACATGCATGCGCTTTATCAGATATGCAAATACGCACCGTTTTACGGCTGCTTTCACCGGACAATTCCGCGACAAACCCGACCCCACACGAGTCCTTATCAAAAGCCGGATCGTAGAGTCCAAGCGGCTTCTCGGGGGCTCCTGACAATGCGGACCGGACCATCACTCGAAGCTTCGGCGACTTTCCTGGACCGTCCGATTGCCAAACATGTACCCTCTCCGATCCGGACGCGCGTAACCGGTTTCCGAAGAACTTCTTCTCCACGACCGTCGATTTTCTCAAAGCCGAGCATCTTGCGGCCCTGCCTTTGCATCGTGACAGAGTATTGACGTTAGAGTGAGGTACAATGACCGTTTTGCTCGGCAACGGAAGCGCGCATGAGTTCGCTCGGAACTGAGCGACAGAGCTCGAAGTCGCCGACATTATTCAACAAAGCGGTCAAGTCTATCAATAACACACGTTTCTTATGATTCAGATTTGATTTATTAAATCCTTTTAGATAAAAGAAAAATCTTATTAATAAACTGTTACAGATCCGACGGTCGAAATCAGAATTAAATTAGAAAATCAAACTCCCGTGAACAACAGATCTATTAGATAGTTTTCTCAGGTTTAACGAGCATGTGGAATCACGAAAATATCCTCAGCTGGCGCGAATTCTTCGAGAGATTGAACTTCAAAGGATTCGGAAGAGAACTGAAGAAATCTGATATTTTCCGGGAAAATGAAAATTTTTCCGGGAAAAAGGGCGAAGAGCGAAGGGAAAACTCGGAACGAGATTGGGGCAGAGCACCGACCTTATAGAGGCAGCTCTTTGCGTAGTTTGTTTACAAGAGAAGATAGCGCTGGATTTATAGAGAGAAATGTAGAGAAAATAATTTTGAAAAAAAAAAAAATTAAGAAAAGTAAAGAGTTGAGAAGAGAGGGGGTTGTGTGGGGGCCACGGACTTGTTCTCGCCATCTCTCGTTACGTGACAGCTCAGATTTCAGAAAATGCCACGTGGACAAGAAACTATGCGGCACGCGACAGCCGCTCATGGTGGGACCCACGTAAATAGGATAACAACGGTGGCCCCTATCTAGCTAGGCTGCTGCTGTGTAATGGTTAACAAATTAAGTTTTAGCTTCGGCTCCGAGCCTCCGCAGGCTAACATGGTAAAAATTAGAAAATATTTTAATTTTATAATTTTAATTAAATGAGTTAATGCCGTATTGGGAATAACAACTCAGCTCAGTTTTTAAAAAAGAAGATTTGAAATCGCTTAAATGACTATTCTATCCTCCTATCAGATTGTTAATTACTAAAAAGGCCTTTTATGTTGACTCGTAGAGTCGTAGTCTATCTTTATCCCTACAGAAGTTTGTTATACTGCTGATGGTATTCTCATCTGGTGACAAAACAGTTATTAAAACTGAAAATTTAAGTTTAAATAATTGTTTTTTGGTTTTAATGTTTAATACATAATTTATTAAAACAAATTTTATTCATTTATCTAAAATATTATTGTATATATCTCTAGAATATTCTAAAAATGGAAGTAAAAAATTATGTAAGCAAAAGCGGGTGGTTGGGGACGTAATGTGACGCTGGGAATGACGAAATGAGGCACGGACGCGGCCAATGGTATGTGTAATGGTAATGGAGGCGGCCGCTTGAATTTTTATGTGGCCAACAGTAACAACTTTGTTGGTTTAAGTAATTAATTATATGAATTAACTTGCCTTAAATATGTTCTTGTATGTAGATAGACCTGCATCATTATTGTGATTATTTAAGGAAAATATTTTTTAATCTTACCCTTAATTGTAATTTATTAAAATCTTACTCTCACTAATTCTCTTTACCAAAACTGATTGCGCCACTTGTTTCATCTTGTTGCTTTTGGTTACTACTACATTCTTAAAAGTTAAAAGAATTAAAAAATTAAATTCTTTTAAATGGTAAAGATAATATTTATCATCTAATTATGGAGGTATTTGTCTAAATTTATAAGCGGGTCAAACTAGCTTATAAGCTATAAAATTAAACTGACTTGTTTATTTATAACTTTTTTGAGCTTATAAACTAAAAAAAATAAGTTGGGAGGAGGTACTTTTTTTTTTTTTTCTTTGACCAAGTATATTACTACATTATCCTTGTTTAATTTTAAAATTTCATAGTATACCCTTGTTTAATGTAGTATCTTTTTTAGTCATTTTATAACAAAATATACTTATAAGCCACATTTTATCAAACACATCAACTACTTATCAGTCACTTATAAATACTTTAACCAAACACGTAATTGCTTAAAATTTCAAATGCTTATAAGCTTATAAGCTAATTTTCATAAACTCATACAAACACCCCCATATTCTTAAAGAACAAATTAAGGGATAACCCACTACTGGGTAGCTTAAGTGATAAGACGAACGTTGGGATATGTAGTCAAGGCACAAGGTCTCAAGTTTGAATTCCTTTGAGTTTTGAAATTCAAGTGGATAGTCATTATAGTGGGTCGTGGCAGTTGATCCCGATGACCAAGATTTATTCCACCCGAGTTATTGCATATAGAGCAGCAACCACCTATTTCCTGCTCAAAGCATCAGCAACCTAATTGTGCCTTCTCGGCTTGTGTTGCCATGCAAAATCATACTCAGCCAAAAGTTCTTGCCACCGAGCCTGTTTTTGGGACAACTTCTTATGTGTCTTGAAGAAGGTATTTGGCCACATTGTCTGTCAATACTACAAATTTCATGCCCAACAAGTACACTTTCCACACCTGCAAACAATGTACAACAGTCACCATCTCTTTCTCATGTGCAGAATATTGTTGCTCTGCCTCATTCAACTTTCGGCTCTTAAAAGCTATGGGATGTCCCTCATGTACCAACACCCCACCAATTGCTTTCTCTGAAGCATATGTATGCACTTCGAAAGGTAACTCAAAACTTGGCAATCTCAACATCGGTTTTGAGGCTGGTCAAACTAGTTTATAAACCCTAAAATTAAGCTGACATGTTTGTTGATGGGGGTGTTTGTCTGAGCTTATGAAAATTAGCTTATAAGCAATAAATGCTTATAAGCTAATTTAAGCTTATAAGCATTTGAAATTTCAAGCAATTACGTGTTTGGTTAAAATACTTATAAATGACTGATAAGTAGTTGACGTATTTGGTAAAATGTGGCTTATAAGTACATTTTATTATAAAATGACTAAAAAGTGTATTACATTAAATAAGGGTATACTATGAAATTTTAAAATTAAACAAGGATAATAGGGTAATATACTTGGTCAAACTAACTTAGGGAGTGTTTGTCTAAGCTTATAAGCTGGTCAAACTAGCTTATAAGCTGGTCAAACTAAGGGGGTGTTTGTCTAAGCTTATAAGCTGGTCAAACTAACTTATAAGCTCTAAAATTAAGCTGACCTGTTTGTTTATAACATTTTTTAGCTTATAAGTTAAGCTTATAAGCCAAAAAAAATAAGTTGGGGGGGAGGTACTTTTTTTTTTTGGCTTATAAGCACTCTGCTTATAAGCTAGTTTGACCAAGTATATTACCACATTATCCTTGTTTAATTTTAAAATTCCTTAGTATACCCTTGTTTAATGTAGTACTTTTTTTAGTCATTTTATAATAAAATATACTTATAAGCCACATTTTACCAAACACGTCAACTACTTATCAGTCACTTATAAGTATTTTAACCAAACACGTAATTGCTTAAAATTTCAAATGTTTATAAGCTAAAATTAGCTTATAAGCACTTGTTGCTTATAAACTAATTTTCATAAGCTCAGACAAACACCCCCTTATAAGCAGAGTGCTTATAAGCCAAAGAAAAAAAAGTACCTCCCCCCCAACTTATTTTTTTTTGGCTTGTAAGCTCAACTTATTTTTTTTTTTGCTTGTAAGCTTAACTTATAAGCTCAAAAACGTTATAAACAAACACATCAGCTTAATTTTAGAGCTTATAAGCTAGTTTGACCAGCTTATAAGCTTAGACAAACACTCTGCTTATAAGTTGAGTTTTGAGCCAAAAAAAAAAAAAATAGTTAAGGGGGAGATACTTTTTTTTTTTTTTTTTCCCTTATAAACACTCTGCTTATAAGCTAGTTTGACCAAGTATATTACTACATTATCCTTGTTTAATTTTAAAATTTCATAGTATACCCTTGTTTAATATAGTACCCTCTTTAGTCGTTTTATAATAAAATGTACTTATAAGCTACATTTTACCAAACACGTTAACTACTTATCAATCACTTATAAGTACTTTAACCAAACACGTAATTACTTAAAATTTCAAATTAGCTTATAAATAATTGTTACTTATAAGCTAATTTTTATACGCTCGGATAAGCACCTCCTAATTAATGGGTTGTAGAGGAATTCAAAGATAAGTCAAGACGTGGATAAACTAGATTGGACACGTTGATTAAAAAAAAAAAAATTAAGAGATAACATAATACAATACTTTTGATAATTTATCTCTCTTTTTAATCTCAATAAAGTAAAATCTATTGCATTAAATGTAGCATTGGTAATGCAAAATAGTAAATACCCAAAAATNTGTAAAGAATGGCCGAATCCCCTTAATGGAGGGGTCTTCTTCATTTTATAACAAATTGAGACGTGTAATCATCATTAAATCCATGGGTTGGTGTGATTGTCAGGATGTAATCCGGCTTTACGTCCCATTTTCCTTTTTCCAAGCTGATTTCGCACGACTTGCTGCAGAGGAATGGACGCGTGTGAGCTCCACATTACTTTGTAGATCTGACGCGTGCATGTTGCCCTGACGGGAGCAGGTCACCCGTAACGTGACTCTTCCCACGTCAGCCCTTTGTTTTCCCGGGTATAACAATAATGTAGGAGGATTGAGGCACTATATGTTAGATGAGAAATTTGCATCAATCAGAGGTACATGATTAACAACATTAGAATTATATAAGATGTGTGCGTGATCTCAGTTGATCAGCAATAGAACGATATGACAATGAATGTGCAAGGATTTATATAAAACACAAAGGAACTAAAATACTTTTTAAAGTGGTTCGGTTGTTCATAACGCAATGCCTACCTCCACTATTTTGTTATTGAATGTGTTGAAACAATAATTCGATTTACAAAAAGTTTGCAATTGGCCTTCTATGACCTATTCTTCCTTTAGAGACAAATTACAACTGAGTTTATATACTGCCAAATACACGGTTGAGTTGAAAATGAATTCAAATTCAATAAAAACGAGAAGTTATGTAATCTTCCCATGATCATGGGATCCATGACTAGGGCTGCAAACGAACCAAGCTGTTCATTTGATAACAGCTCGATTCGATTCGATAACAAATGGTTCGCAAACAATTCAATGTTCGTTTGATAATGTGTTCAATTTAAGTTTGAACATGGGGTGTTCTTTTGATTATGTTTGTGAACATAC